ATCAGAATGATCGAATCAATTGAACGATGGTTACAGACCCCCTTTTATATCTCCCGAAGAGGCACGACGATTCCTCGAGGAGGCGTCGGTTCCAGGAGATCGAAGGGAGACGTCGGTTGCGGGACAAACCGCAACGACAGTTTGGGCAAGGGGAGAATTTTCCCCTAATTATAGAATTATTTTTAACACTAAGCTTTATAGCGTGAGCTCTTTTTTTTGAAGGAAACGAATTAGGGACCAATGAAAAAACGTTTGACGGACGAAAAAGCCTATGGGTCCCACCGTAAACAAAATTTTGTGGAGAAACAATCCATTCTTTAATATTAGGTAGAGATAAAGTCAAGACAGTAATAAAAGCAACTGGTCGATCTCAGAAGGTGTATGGATATGTGAGCTAAGTGGCCGATTTCCTTTTTTCGCGCATGGATGCTCATTTTAGTAGTTTATTTCTTCATCTGTTTTGAATCCGACAGACTGAAATAAAACCGACCATACACAGATGTCCCATATGAGAGAGAGAGAGGGAGAGAGAGAGAGAAGGTGTGCCATAAAAAAGTGTGGTGCAGCTTTTTCTTCCTTTTTCCTCGGCGGCTAAGGCAAACTTTCTCCTACAAGCTTCGCCAGCGAGACTGTGGATTCACCTCCTCTCTGCTTGCGCTCCGGTTAATAGTTTATGTTAGAGTTTTTTAGTCCTCGCAGGTGCAGTGCTCGAACGGATGGGGGTGCTTCCTCTTCGAGTTTTTCTTCAGGGCTTCACTTTTCCTCGAATTCGTCTATCTGGATGTAGTCGACGGAGCCCTGGTCTAGATTTCAGCCGTTTCATTTGGGCAGTAAGATTAGGGTTCAATGACGATGATTGCGGCTCCGGGTCGCTAGTCCTTAGAAGCATGTGTACAAAGACTTTTCGGTTGTCATCAATAAGGTCAAACCGGCTCCGGTAGGCGAACGGCGACAGTAGCGTGTCGACAACTTGTTCTGGCGACAGTAATGGACATTCGGTGGCGTAGAGACTTTGATGTAACTTTTTATCTTTAAGGTGTTTTGTGCTTTTAATAAACTTTTATAATAGATCTTGATCTTCCAGAAAAGAAAAGGAAGTGAGAGACCATAAGGAAACCATACGCCACAAAAGGAGTCCTACTAGCACCGGACCTGATGCCGGAAGAAGGATCCGGTGCACCGGCGAGGGTGAGGCAAAGCATTTAGCGCGTGGGCAGCTTGTTAATTAGTCCACATCGATGCATGTAGAGTATCCCACTGTTGTTCACTAGTGCGATGAAGAGGGAGCTTCATGTTGACGATGAGGAATGGGAGGTTCTTCAGGAATCAAACATTTACCCCAATGCAAACTTTCCGCCGGTTTACTAACGATCTTGTCAACTAGCACACTGCTGGGAGTATAGTCTACCAGTTTATCCACATACGCCTAATACACCATTGATACGATTTTGTTCTAGTTGCATACACATCGCCGATCTTATGCCTTGTATTGCTAATGCTTGTAGTTCTTTGATGTCTTTGCTCATTGTTGAACACTCGGTAGCCGATCTCATATTCTTCAACCAATGAAAGGTTGCGCCGACAACCTTCCGTGAATATTTTGTGTTCCAAAAGGTGTCACAGCCTGGTCCATTACCACCATTCGATAGTTCCATGTCGGTTCAACCAGCAGCTAGACTCCAAATTTGAAGTTTCTCGGCGCATGAATGCCATTGTCATGCTCCTTCAAGTTGGGACCTTGATGGCCACAAACATTGCAAAGTTTGCGGAGACGTTCATTCTGAACATGACAGTTTTCTCAGCTTTCCTCCGCGACATATAAAGACCATCCTCGTCAAAGGTAAGCATATCAATCTTCACATGACCTCTATAGAAATTGCAGTGCAAATGCTACTTTTACAAATTCCTGTGACAAGAAGGTGCATTCATACAAAAACGGTGATGTTCGGCGAGAGGATATTCCTCCATGGTTCATAACTTCTAGCATGTCCATGATTTTTTTTCTTTTCTTTTGAGGAAATCATCACATGTGCACAGACACGAAACCTCCACCGTTTCATCAAAATTGGGTCCCTATTGGCGAAGGTTGAGTTTTTCGAGTTGAGAAAAGAAACAAATCAGAGGTGGTCTTTGTGAAAAAATGTGGTCGTGGTCTTAATTAGACAAACTCATATTCTTTAACTATTTTGATGAGATTCCAAACGGCCTCCAACTCTGATAGTCTGTAAGTACTAGAAGTAGTAAATTTCATGTGATAAAGAAGGTAGAGCAAGCCTGCTATATCTTATTACATGGATATTAACATTTGTCTTCAACATACTTATGGAGTATGTGATCTACTGGTCTCTTCTTATTTGAGAAAAGAAGATCCCAGAAGCAAGGAGAACTCAGGTAGGCAGCAAACGCCGCCTAGCTTGGACGTACGATGAGACTAGCAGCACTATTGGCAGATGCGCCCGGCGTTCCCTTGGGGTCCCTAGAGCATCCCCATCTTGCTCATCGAACTGAGAACTGGTTCCACAACCACCATTCATTGTCCACAAAATCATTTACATACCCTCGGGTGGTTATGTTGATGAGGAGCTGCACATCGGAGATGAGCATGCCCTTCCCCTCTTTGACATTGATGTAGCACTTGTTGTCGAACCTGGCCGGGCTGGTCACATCGACGTCCTGACAACGGTGTGCGTCGGCGGTGCAGTTATCTTGTAGCTTATGAACAAAGTCATCAGAGTTGGAGTTGGGCAAACGGTTGCCGAAGGTGGTGCAACGAGCTTTCCCAATGGTGTGCACACCAGAGAGCACCACGAGGTCTTTCTTGTTGAGGTTGCGGCTACTGAAGGCAGCTAAGCTGGTCAATGCTGAAGGTGGGGGTGGGAGCTCCTCGACAAACCTCAGCGGTGCGGGCTTGAAGCTGTTGAGCCTACCGAGTGGCACGTGGTAGGTTTGGCCACCTGACTGCAAGTTGCATGAAAACATGTAATTTAGCGTGTGGATAGGGAAAAAACCCGTGCTCCCGGATCGATTTTTTTGTCCGTTTTTTTCATGAAAGAAAGTTCGTCAAAACCAATCAACATGGGATCTAGTTTTTAAGATCTTGACGCGGGGAGTCCAATGGTGAAAGCGGTTCGAGATTTGGACGCACGGTTTAAGAGATAGAACGTTTTGAGTAAACTAGTCAATTTGTACGTGCAATGCACGTTAATTTGGAAGTATATTAAGTGCATGCGGATATTAAGTAGGATATTATTTGCGTGTTATTGTGTGATTAGCGCTATATTTGGCATGAAATTAACTACACGCTAAACATATTGAGCGCTTGACATTGAAGCTGTCTAGGTCATTGGATTGACATGATTTAATGGCTGAGATTAATTGGATCTGCTCCTTTGGGTCTTTTTATATTGGTATAGATATAGATGAATCTATGAAAAAAGGGAAAACTCCCGGGTTGCGACAGTGGCGCATATGCAATGCGCCACTTATCGCAACCTGGAAAGGTTGGAGTGATCTTTACAATGGGTACTCTTTAATTAGTTATTTCGAGAATATACATATAGGAATAACCAGCCGAGAACGAATTTTGTCAAGAGCAAACAGCACAAATATAACGAGCATCTGTGCTCGTGCTCATAAGAGCATTTTCGATTGCTTCATTCCTTCATGCACCATTGCACGATGTAATACAATACTCCCACTGTTTCCAAATATAAGTTTTTCTCGAGATTCCAACAAATGACTACTCCCTCCGTTTCTAAATATAAGTCTTTCTAGAGATTTCACTATAAACTACATACGGATGTATATAGACATATTTTAGAGCGTAGATTCACTTATTTTGCTCCTTATGTAATCTATAGTAGAATATTTTAAAAGACTTATATTTAGGAATGGAGGGAGTACATACGAAGTAAAAGAGTGAATATATATTCTAAAATATGTCTACATACATCCGTATGTTGTAATCCATTTGAAATGTCTCAAAAGACTTATATTTAGAAATGGGAGTAATAAAGATCGGTACATTCTTTCCTACACCTTTGCATGTATAGAAAGACTAGACGCACAATTGTCAAATGATGTAACAATAATCAAGTGTCTTCACATGAAAAAGAAAGAAAATCTACGCAAAACAAGTAGCATCACCCTTGGTTTTCTAGTCCTGCATACGGATACATAGGTAGTAATGAAGTTAACAGTTGATCGCTCTAAGTAAATTAGGAGTGAAGACCTAGCTCATCAGCCAATAAAACAATGACAGGCTCCGTAGATATGGTCGATGAGACTACAAGTACACCACCCAGAAGCACTATATATGTCACATGTCATATCTCTTAGCGACCAAGTGCCGCTACCAATGTGATATTGTCCAAGATATATTTCATGTATGGGATCATGGCATACAATCATGTCACCTGCAAGGGTTGGCATAGCCTTCAAACTCACACTCAGATTCCTACCGATAACACTCCCACTCCTTCTGACACCAACCAAGAGAGCCTTGTCCCCGATGCTTGTTAGAGGAGTAACTCTTCCTTGGATAAGGTCTGCTATTTTGTAGACTGCCATGCGCTTGGATAAGACGTAATCGCTGGAATCCACAAGTAGTATCTCCGAGTCGCATTCTACTAATTCAAAAAGGGCGTTGAACATGCCCGTGGGGCATATGGCAATCACCTTTGGTGCTGGGAACGAAGACGAACTGGATCCATAAATCTTCTCGGGCCGAGGTGGGTCGATCTGTAAAATCTGTAGTTCGACGCTAGACGTGGTGGGCTTGGGTTGTACCATATAAATTTTTCCTTGTGATGATATGGTGCTCCCGTTTGGGGAGAAGTTCGAGGCCGATAATCTCCAGTGCTTGTCCTTGGTGGTGGCAAAGAGCACGCGTGAAACATCTAGAAGCACGACCATGATCATAACGACCCTGTCAGCGTTAACGGTCAAGGAGGCGGTCACCCTGCCTGGCAACAAGTAAGCAGATCCATTGTTGTGAGAATTCAAGCGGGCCGTTGATCCATTGCGGTGTCTCCCGTGAAGGGGTGAAGGAGGCATATAGGGTCTTCGTCTTGGTCGCCGTGTTGCCGCTGCATGAGGAGGAGGCCTTCGACCGAGCAGAGGAAGCAGTGGTCGTCCAGAAGAGGAAGTCGAGGACGCACAAATACTCCGGTGTCGAGGTTGAGGAAACGTTTCCTGCCGTCTTCAAGGTGAAGCCTGTGGCCGTCCGGCAGCATCATCCAGCGACGCGGATGAAAGCGCGAGTCGGTGATGCCATGGCCGCGCGGGTGGATAGTGCTGGACCAGGAGTGCGCGCACACTGCACGGAAGCGGATGTAGTCGAGCAGGTCTCCGGCGGCCAGCACCCGCCAGCCGATTAGCTCAACCAAGTCCGCCGCCATGGACGCCAGGGGAGACATGTCGCGGGAGCAAGTGGCGGAGGAAGCCGTGACGGGCGCGGGAGGGCGCTCGCAGTTCGCCGCCGGCGAGGACATCGATCGATCCCAGATCGCAGATTGACCTAGGGTTTTTTCTTGCGCTAGCGTAACAGGGGACCGATGGGATACGATTTTTAAGCAGAATCGCTCGGTGGCGAGCTATTCGGGATGGACGTTAGGATGCTATTGTTGGGCCTAAGTTATCGTATCCACTCCCTGGTGGGGCTAACATCCAGCCCATCTTTTTGTAGTACGTGCGTGTGATTTTTGAATAGAAAAAAAATCTTTATCCTATTTGGTATTCTTGTGTGAGCGTGTGATTGCTGTGCAAGGGCTGTTTTTCTCGAATACCTGTGCACGGGCTAACAAACTGAAATAATATATGGTGTTTTTTCCCTGAAATAATCATATGTAAATCATATGCACATGTGTTTCCCATAGCAAGTAAAAAAAAAGCAATAACACAACAGAGTTTTTATCACCTATAAAGCTAGGGTTTCCTTCCTTTCGCCAGCGTCGCCGCCGGTCCGCCTCGCCTCCGGTGGCCTTAGGGCCATGGGAGCGGAGTGGATCTGGTGCGAGGGCTCCGTTTTTGCAAAAATAATAAAAAATCGAGTTTTGTTAGGGTTTGTGTACTGCTCAGGAGGCGAGACGGCGGTGGCTTTCTGAAGATGGAATAAGGTTCTCAAAGTTTGACCGAGTTTATGCAAAAATATATCAATATTTATGAAACCAAATAAGAGCATGATGAAAATATATTTTATCATGAATCTAATGCTACTAATTTGAAAGCACCGGCTAGACTTTCGCTGGAGCAGCAGAACCTCACTCCAACGCACTTTGCCAACGCCAACCACCACCTCCAATCAGCGCAAAAAAAAAAACCACCACCTCCAACGCTCGAACCTCCACTAACCCGTACATCCCCTACACAGCAACCGCACCATTGCTGTACAGGGACCACCTCGCTGCCATCGATGCCGGCCAACAGCACCAGCGGTGAACCAGACCCATCACCACTTCAGCACAGGGCAGGCATTGAAGGGGCTCCGCTCACGCAAGTCGCACGCAGGGAAACGAAGCTAGGAAAAAAGTTTGGTGGGGTCATGTCTATAGCAATGGGGTCATCCTCAATAAATAGATAGTGTTTACTACTAAATTAATGAAGCGTTTCCTAATTTCATTGGGGTCCATTGCCCCCAATGTGATCTAATACAGTCGTCTTCAACATAGTTATTATGTGATCTCCTCTTATTTGAATATAAAAAAACGATCCCATCTGAAGGAAGCAGAACGCAGGCAGCAAACACACCTCCTAGCTTGGAGGTACGAATACGATGAGACTAGTAGCACTGCTGGCGGATGCGGCCGACGTTCCCTTGAGGTCCCTGGAGCATCTCCATTGTAAGATTGGGGAAAACCACACGTTGTGGTGCCTTGTATTGATCAATCTCTACTTCTAATGAACGAGTTGGTTGAATAGTCCCCCTACTTTCAACCGGTTTATTTTTGTCTGGTTTTTTTCGTCCCACCTCCCACCGGTTTTCCTCTTTTCTCGTCTGGCCGGCAATGCCCAACGTATTTATGGCAATCAATCATAATTAATCCACGTATGGTAAGGCTATAAACTTAGAAATCTCAAATATGATAATTATAGTAATAGATCAATCCAGGTATGGTAAGACCATAACTCAGTAAATTTAGAATATGGTAATTATTCTCTTCTTTCGTACGCCCCACCCCATCGATCGAAGGTCTCCCCCAGCGCACGCCCCATCATTTTCCCCACCTCCTGATTTGGCAAGTGATCGATGATTCAATCACTGATATTGCCATTATTCGGGGCGGCCGCGCTGCCTCAACCTTCTTGGCTTTCTCGTCCGGGGCATGGTACCACCACCAATCTGGAGTCCACTCGGCCAAATCAATCCCCTACACCTCTTCGCTTCCTCCGCCATGTCCACCCACCAAGAGTGCGCAAGAGTCAAGACCATGGCGGGCTGACGGCCATGAGTTCCGCGGCGCTCTTCTCCGTCCACCCCTCTGCCCACGACAACAGTAGCCTCTGGATGGACTAGCAGCCGCCACAGAAGCACCCGCTCCGCCGTGGCCGTATCCTCCATCAGATGCTCCAGTGCGTCGTCCAACACTCCGGCGCATACCCAAGCCCCAAATGGCGCTCGAGTTCGTTGGATAAGGCCTCAACCTCAATGGTCTCCGCTGGCTCCGATCCACGGGCGCTGCATGTGTAATCTATTTCCTATGATGTACATACCTGGGCTGATTTGCGTGCTGGGTCTGGGTGTGTGTGCAGCCGTAGCCGATGGACAGGGGCACTGGGCCGCGGCGGTCAGTGGCGAGAAGCTCGTCCATGACGCACTTTATTTGAGCCTCCCTAATTAAACCTCACTTTATTTGGCTTATAATCTCCCTTGAAATTTTGCTGGTGGTGCCAGAGACGAATCCTCTGCCAATATCGATTAATGTTTCTTGGTGCTTCGATTGCAGGGGAACTTGATGAACTACGGCTGCGGGGGCAGCTACGGCACTTGTATCCTGAGGTACTCACTCTCCTATTCAAATAACAGACTGCATCATGTGCAGCTGTAAACGGCAACGGTGATATGAATTGTTACTGAGATCAGGGCGTGATGCCCTGAAACCTTGTACGCAGATAATTGATGGAAACGAGCTCCTGAATGAAAGGACAGACACTGAGAAAGGTATGCATCAATTCATTCAATCCACATCTTGGCGGACCAATGCTAAGTTGCCAACAGTTAAACATGGTGATTAGGCATAGTACACATGGTTTGATCGATTGAGAAATTAAGTGGCATTGATTTCCTTATGCTTGCTAGGGGCGGCGACGGTCTACTCCGGCGGCCGGCATGTATGCAGAACCTGACGGTTCTTACCGCTTGCTCGATCACCGGTTAATCAAACCGAGGAGAAGAAACATTTATGCCCCAGTCGGTCCACAGGTGCATTAGAAAGGGGATCATGTGATATTTGTGATGTTCTCGCACTAATTGGATGCAAGTGACATGTGTTCTTCAACTTTTAAATTTCTCTTATCTCAGGTTTGATCTTCTAATTGAATGGGTGTAATTCACACACTTGGATGGAAGGATTTGTGATGTGCTTAGATCGATAATCTAATTAAGCAATACATGTTTATAATTTTTTAGAAATGCACATATATGTTTGGTTAGTATCTCTTCACCTGCTCGACGAAGCTTGGATTCGCCTTCTTGTGTGCTTTTAACAGGAATAGTGTAATTACTAATTATTCCAGCCGGCAGCAGCGTTCTAGACGATCCAGGTGTGATTCCTCATATTAAGGTGATCCAGCAACACTCTAGATGGTTTCCCCAAAGATGATGCCTCCTTGAGGTCCACTTCTCTGTCGCCCCCAGCTCTGGTATAGTATGAAAATCCTATGAATAAATCTGAAGTTTACTATTTGATGCTTATATTTGTTGGTGCAGTAGTCCTTTTTGCTGCTCCACTCCTGGAGGATTTTGCTCAATTCTTCCATTTAGTCGAATGATTTGTCAATACTTCTCTGAATACATATGATGCTTAATATTAAATGTACTGATGGATCTAATTACGACTTCTGAGTGCATAATGTTTAACATGTAACCATTCATAATCTTTAAATGGTTAGGTAAGGCAAGAGCTTCTGACTAACCAAATTGATTTATATATCGTAAATATCCTAACAAAGAAAATGTTGATTCTACTTCTGTCATCATATGAACATTTAGCCTACATTCAAACTATAGATTTGTTAGGAGATAATTCCTCAGTCGACGATGATAAACTAGATAGATATCTATTGTACCAGTAGAGCGTGAATGTATGACGCCAAACACCTTTGACCCTTCTCCATTACTCCTCCATTCCATAATTCTTGTTGTGATTTTAGTTCAGATTTGATCTAAACCTGCAAAAATTATGGAACGGATGGAGTACTAGATAGTTGCATACGTTTATCTCTGGTAGCTATGAAAGATATGATGGGCACACCTCGACAAACCACCGTATATCTCTAAGCCATATCCATACTACCTGCACCTAATAAAATATCATATACATGAAGATACTATATCTTGTTGATGATTTTCATAATAGACTATACTAACACGTAAGTTGGTTGCGACACCATGAATTTCTCTTCAAAAAGCTTTGAACTACAGTATAAATATTAAGATCTCTATACTACAGGGAAAATGCAGTGAAGTTTTTATCTACTCAAGAATATGAAGTTCTTATACCACTCTAGAATATGACCAGCAAAGGGGGTCCTTTTAGACTTCTTAAATAGAGCAGCAGCATAAAGCATCGATAATCTAATTAAGCAATACATGTTTATTTACTCAAGAATATGAAGTTCTTATACCACTCTAGAATATGACCAGCAAAGGAGGTCCTTTTAGACTTCTTAAATACAACAGCAGCATAAAGCATGACAAGGTGTTACCTCTTGCAGATCTTCGTACTTTTGCTCTCCTGTACTGCTGATCAATACTACTCGTAACATGATTTGCAGTTGTTTTGTTCAGGTAGTGAGGCTATTTTCCTGGTACTTAGACTCGGTGCATGTTGTATCCAGTTGAGAATATTTAGTAGTGGGTAGAATTTGTGTTGAGGCGAAATTTCTTTCGAGGTGTCCATATCCTTGATTAACGCAGGCATGTTTTGGGAGGGGCATCTGTGGACAAAGAACCCTTTTCTGTAGTTCAAATTTGACTTAAATACTAATACTTTACCGAGAAATACCATCCCAAAGGACAGGCACTGAATGTGTTCTTGAATTAATTCACAGGTTGAGAACATCTTCAGCCAAGTTTTATACTTCAAGCGTACTGTGAAATATGTAGGAGAACCATGACTCACTTTGAGTCAACCATTGCCTTCTCTGCAGTGCGTATTTTAGTTCTTTTCATTTTTCATGTCTTTGTTAGTGTTCCCAT